TGTGGCTGCAAGATCGAACACCCTGCCAGGCGACGTTTTCCGGACTGTTCTAAAACACCAAACTCTCAAATTCCGTGCCTCTTGACTCACATCCCCAGAAACAGAACACATGTTTGTAATCGACAGGATGTTCAGAGACACACTTTCGAAAATATTCATCCGGCCTCGTCGACTCGGCGTCACGAAAACTGCTGGAATCATCGCGTCCCGGGAGGTTATTATCACAACGGACAGTTTCATGGCCCATTGTATATGAGAACCGCCTTCTGAAGGCGGTCAGCCATCATTTCGGACGTGTCTTGAGTGCAATGATGCGGCATCAATTGCCACAACGGAATCTTGTGTCGTGAAGAGATTAATGGGACATTCATTGCTGAAAGGAGAATTCTTCCTGTCTCTCACTCCCTCATACGGTTAGCGAAGTACGAACAGAGATATCATCCACTAAGAATTGTTCTTGCGACATGACAAAGTCATGATATACGCAGAGCATTTCTATATCTGGCCCGGCGAGCCGGGCAGGCCTCCAACATCTTGTTGGAATTTAGTGTCCTTCCTCACAATTTCTCCAACTAGTTTACGAGTAGCAAGCGGAGATTCAAGCTTGTCAAGTAACAATAGGGGGCTTGTAGGGGGATGTATTTCTCACAATCACACACTCTTCCACGTCTCTCACACTCTTCCACGTCTCTCACAATCTGCCTTACAACATTATATTGGTCTTTCTAAGGCGCCTACGCTCCTAGATAAGTAGTGCGTACGTAGGCGTCGTATCTGCGAAGGAATGCAATTTCTCAAGAGCTGCGGCGGACCACACGCCAAGCTGCATGATCGCCTCATTATAGTCCCCTCCCGCCTCTTTGACTTCAAGGCCACAACCGAGGAAAAAGGGTGCTTATGTATACGTCTGCCATGTGAAACTCGGTCGAGACGAGTTGAGAAATTGAGAATTGCAATCCTTTCGCAACTTGTGGTGGCCCTCTAGCGGACCGTGTCATAATCGGTTTATGTATGCCCGTTGAACAGTTGCCACATGTCGGCCGCCACGTCGGCGGAGTCTGCATAAAGCTAAATCCAGTGCACACAGTTTATTGGACCATATAGATCTAGAGCCGTTGTACGGTGCAGCCATCATCTCTTCATCGAAATAACACTAATTCGACGGGTAGGTGTCATCACGCAGATGAAATAGTCGGGATAGAAAGCACACATAAGCTGTTGGCGCATTTCCTAGGACGGCGATAGATACAGCACGAGGCTATAGCAGCGTCGACATTGCGAGACGTATGGAGCTTCCAGCGGCAAGGCGGGCTTCAGCCGGCTTCGAACGGCTACAGGCGGTCGCGTGAGCCGACTGTTCCGCCCTACGAACTGTTCTCGAGAGACCTTCTTTGTAAGAATTTCAGCATAGTACGTCACTTATTCTGGCTAAGCCATAATAGGAAAGGTCAATTCATGGCAGTCACTAAAGAGCGCATGCGCGTTTGCAGCCCAAATGTTGAAGTTATTCTGCATTGTCCTCAGGTTCACATCGCCTCAGGTTCACATCGTCTCAATCCATCTATATCAGCGTTGTATGGAGAAGACAATCTCTTCTGCACTAGACATTACCTCTCAAAGAAGTTCCCTTCGAAGCGCGTCGAGCGTCCATCGATCCGGATATCCTGCTTCTGCGGACTGCAGGCTAATAGTGGCCCTGGCGGAGCATGAAACAAATTCCAGCAGATGATATTGCGCACGACGATAAAAAGTGTGAGCAAAAGGTCCTGACAGAAGTAAGCGATGTGGCAGCTGAATTGTCACGCAAGGCGATTAACTTGTCTAGACAGGGACGCAAGTCAGAATCGACAGCGATGAAGCGAAGACAACAGATCCAGAATCGGTGCCTTCTTCGATACGCGCAATTTTGGTGAAGGTGGATGGTGATGCAGGAGCAATAAGAGGATCGAATGGCTTTTTCTTACGGACGGGACCAGGAGAGGGAGCAGGACATTACATTGTGACGATTGATGCAGGTCAGATATGTGTCTTATTTGGTAAACCTTCCATTAGGTACTTTCGCCCTGTTCGATAGGTCGTTTACAGAAATTGATCAATGCCAATGTCATCTCAATTGAAAGCTCTAGCTTTCCATTCAGACCATAAGATTTGAAAGCAACGGAAGGGAGCGGCACTCCATGCCAGGGACAGGAAATCACCACGGGTGGCCAAGTTGCTTCATAGCCTTGTAGAAACGTCAAAAGATCCTTGAAGTCGATTACCATATGAGATTGAGGCACCGGACCTTGATCCTCCACCGTGGTCAATGTTGAAACACCTTTAGCTACGCCAGATTGCCTGCCTCTTTTCTTTGTTGAGCCTGAAACACTGTCAGTTGACGGTAGTCGCACCAATTGGAAAAATAACCTTCGCTGTTCTCTCCCAGAGATCGTTTCTCTTTCAAAGAAAGATGACTGAAGGAAATGCCTTTACACAGTTGATCTGACAACTGGCGCAGTCCAGGAGGATGCGAAACTGATGCCCACCAGTCGCGATACCCTGAGAATGTCTGCTTTGGCTGCTCGCGCGATATATGTGTGATTGGAATCGCTAAAGCACACAATAAGAAAGCATCTGAACCCAGTTGCTGATAGACATCGACTAGAAAGTTGCGTGCTCGCCGTCTTGCATATCGAAGTGCACCAGATTTGTCTGTCCGTGCCAGCGAATCCTCTTTGAGCAGAGCGTCACACAGGTCGAATGCAGCCTTTTGCGGTGCTAGCAAAGCGCTGGAGCGATCCTCAAAAGTTGCCAGCTCCACGGATAAGCGGCTGGTCCAGCTGTTGGGAAGTGTTGACATCTGGCCAAAGAGTGGGTGGAATGATAAGCTGACCGTCTGCGATAGGGCTACTATATTTTCAAACAACGCTATGTGAGTATAGCAAATCATAAAGAATTGGAAATGATTAGAAATAACTGGAAACAGATGGAAATGGATGAATACCTTAAAAAAACCTTCTTAGGACTAGCTCCTTGGAGTCTCAGCTATTACCGTTTTGATCGCCTAGCCCTCTAGTTTAACAACACAAATTTAGAGACGACGAGGCTGCATTGTAGGTCGTTCTTTGTCGCTGTTGCAATCGGTGCCACAGTGTACCTGCTGCAAATGGAACCAAGCTTTCATGCAATTCTTTTTCTTTCCCTTTTGCCTCACTATTGACTGTCATCAAGCTGCAATGTTGCTAGGCAAGATATTCGAGTGGCTATCTAAACACCTTCTCCAGCCGCAGATGAAAATGACCTATCATCGGCTGCATGCTAATTCCTGCAAAGCCCTCAAGTTGAGCATGTGCATCTGTGGGGGATTATCCAAGTCACAGACTGCACCGAAGGGTAAGGCTAAATATGCATACCCTGAACTGCGTTGCGCCACGCAGGAGGTAGAAAACACTCTCAATCAATCATTTTGCCGGTTATGTTTCAGGCTTCGCTTCGGAGGTAGCTACGACCCATCAATATAGGTCACCCAATGGTCGGCTATTCCTTGATGGATGTAGGCGAGCACGGTGCCGCCTCCGTAGTTTTGACCAGGGGATATCGTTGGTCAGTCGCATGTTTGCCAAACTAATCCGCTTGATGGTCGAACATCTTCGCCAGCGTAGGCCACAGATTGGGTCGACCATTACTCTTTTTGACATGACTCTGCAGGACGATAGATACATGGTGCCGTTACGCGTTTATGAACTGCATCTCCATGTTGGAAAAGGTTATTTATTATTGGACTGGCTGAGATTTCCCCTGTCCTGATCGAAGCGCAAAGACAACCGATACGAAGCCACCTCGAGGGAGATACTGAGGTTCATGGTACAAGAAGACTCTATCCCTCCGGCTGAAGTTCAGATTTCCATTTGTTCTTTTTATCAAGTCAGTATATCTGTCCTTGGTCTTTTGTAAGGGAACTCATACTAGCTGTCCACATCTTCCTTCGGTCACTATGTCAGATAATTCGAAAGATCATGCTTCTAAACGCCCGCAAGCGAACACCCCAGCAGCTGCAACAGCAGACAAGAAGCCTCCTGCTCAAAATGGAGAAGGGAAGTCTCCCGCGTCGGATGGGAGTAACACCGCCTGGATGGGGTCTCTGGAAGACAATGCGAGACGAGGTATGGGTTTCTCTGGAAATGAGAGGAAATAAAGGTACGGTGTTAACTTTCAAACCGTGAAGATCATAGTGTTAAAGGTTGTTGACAGCGTATACAGCTCCTCTGGTGTATCCATAAGCGCCCAATATCAGCCTGACTGCTCCGACAGTGTGTACACAGGTCAGAGAAATCAGTTGAGTGAGAGGACTTATCCTTTACAAGACCTTCTCGCCAACTTTACGAGGAACTGCGCCTGGATGTTCAATCTCCGCCGAAAGTTTCGAAAACACATTCCTTGATAAAATGCAATTCTTTGAAAAGGGAGATGACGTTACTGTTGTTCCTTCAATGGGATGCTCAACGCGATTTCTGTTGAATCTAAGGTCCCCATACTACGGAACGCATTTTTTCTCCTTTACTTCTTTGCTATCGAAAATGAGTGCGGTCTCTGAAAGGTCATTATGCTTTAACACTACAATGCTCATTTCATTACTACTTCTTCGTTGCCTTATAAGAACAAAAGTTCTAGTCTTTGTGAAATTTGTGGTGACCCATCATCTATTCTTCTCACCCAAAGCGACCTCCAGTCGCTAGATGTGGTCATCTTAACGCCAAGCCGAGCTTTTCTCTATTGCTGTCGAGTCACGTGATTCGGTCAGCCGATTACGTGGCCCGAATCGCCGTCGTCCACTCTACTTTTTGCGCGACTGTGTGGCGTGAAATCAATATCGATTTCTGGGTTGTACAACCAAAGTCATCAAAGATCTTATCAAGTGACGTTTTAGCGGCTACCTCATTGCGACATATATTGCAACCTAGGTTGCACAAGAGACTAGGGTTGCACAAGAGGCTAGAGTACAAAACCCTAGGCAACTCCTTCGCAAACCGAGTATTCAACTTCTTCAGATTTTACACTCCCAGACATGTCTATCATTACACCTACGAATGCTTTGCGGAATGCAGCAAACTCAGTCTGCCTGGATGCGAGGGAGATGATAGCAGTGCCAGGACGAAGTGATGTGTTGCGACTGGACTTCAGAACGCACTCAGAGCTATTAACGGAGGAACGAAAAAGCCTGGTCCAAATATACAACAAAAAGGATGTATGTTGAGAAATATTGTCTCACAGACTAAGATTATTGATTGTGGGATTAGTTCGTCGAAATTGCTCAAAAGGAACGTGAAAGAGGCGCGGAAATCGAGTTCGACAATCACCTAGAATTTCTGTGTACCTTCGGCCCTTTATCACCTGAGCCGAATAAAATGCTGGTGGCTATAGTCCTGAAAGATCTCACTGACAGAGTTTCGACGCCATCCAAAGCACAGGTGGATAAAGTGGCACATGACCAAACAACTGCTCAGAAGCAGCTCGAGATATATCCCACCGCTAAACGTCCACGAACGCCACAACAATCACAAAAGACTGAGAAATCCACGGGTAAGGAGCACATTGTGGTCTCCCCAGAGCTTGAAAAGATCAGTGAAACTCAACCTCCGCGAGTAGGCGACATCCTGAAGGCGTACGGAGGGGATTGCATCAATACTAAGCCAGGTGGTCTGGTGGTTGTCCTCATGCGATATAATGTAAAGAAGCTGGTCAGGAACGCTGAGGATCAAAGTCGAACAGAGGAGGTGTAATATGGTCGTCGTTGGTAACTGCGTAATTGTTGTCTGCAAAACCCAGCAGGCTCGATTGATCGGAGAACAATGGGTCCATAAAGGTCGTGTATGCGTGTCCGGGTGGACTGGAGTCAAACCCAAAACTAGTGCTATGACCAGGTGATACAGGAAGCATGAAGTCTGTGAGCTCTCGCGCGAAATAGGTGTCTAGTGGCGGATTAAAATCAACCACATTCAAAGGCACATCACGCCTTTCATTCGCCTCGAGCATTTGTGTATTAGAATTGAGATGTTGTGCGGATCTTTGATGTAGGGTCGAGGGATCAATGATTTCCTCGGATATGTCGGTCTCGATTTGGCTAGCAGAAGTATCGGAAGATCCCGACATTGTCGCCGGCGTGGAACTGCTCGCATTCTCGTGGTCATCCGAGGCATGTGAAGAGGCCGTTGACGACATCAAAGCTGAAGACGTATATATAGGATGACGTGTATGGGCATCAGCTGGTCTCGATTGCCCTAGAAAGACGGCCTCTCCTGTTTTGCCTGCTTGGAGCAGGTCGAGATTGTTCTCGTAAAATCGAGTCCGGTCTATGGGGTTCTCCGTTGCCATGGTGTCTTCGCACTCGTGAACGTCGTCTGAATCATTTCCTTCTGGATACTGATGAGCAAGGTCGGAAATGCCCAAGGTTTCAGCGCCTTGCAACTTTCTGGTGGGTCTTGTTCGTTCCTTCTCTGTCACATTCCGGTCGCTACTGCGTGGGATGCATGATAGTGTTTTGTCTTGTTCGTGACATTCGCGGCCAGAATGTAAGGTTGTCGGTGACGTCTCTTCTGACGTGGGCTGCGTGTCTCTCGCATGTTGATTGTTACATCGATCACCACGTAGGACCACTGCTTCTCCAGAGGAACATGTTGCCATCTCAGTGTTTCGAGGAATGCCATTCCCTTCGTGCGGGGCTCGTTTTCGAGAGTTACCAGTGGGTGTGTCATCGTTCGGCCTCTTGCGATCAAATCTCGAAATCGAATGGTCTAGGCATTTCATAATCATTGCTGACAGCTTGGAGGCTTCAGTTGCCTTTACATGATCCACCAGTTGTAGTTGCTCCTTGAGAGCATTCGCTTTTTTCAGATTGTAGCCACCTCCCTGTGCAGTCCTGTCTAGGCATTAGCAGCAGCAACTAAAAGCTCCAACAAGACCCTACAGCTGCAACTCGACCTTACGTGGTAAGACGACCAATAGCCCCTGGCACTCGCTTTCAAAATCTTTGTATCTCTTGCCGCGAAGCACGCCCTCATGGAAGTTTTTCAGTAGCTTGTCGGGTGGGTCATCGAAGCCAAAATCCTTAAGATACTCCCGACATTGTTCTTCGTTTATGAGTTTTCTAGGGGTTCCTCTCGTGGTCGTTGGAAACTTTCGCATGTAGCGCTGGTGAAGATAAATTTGAATATATCGTGTCTGAATGGCCTGAGCTGCAGCGATAATTTGCGCATTAGCACTCCGATCACATAGTTTCGTAAAAGCCTCTCGAGGTGTCGATGCTTCCTCTAGTGATGACGACGAATCGGAATTCCAGAAGGACTCAAAGTTCGACGTCCATTCCAGTATCTGCTCTGCAGAAGGAGGAGGATCTTCCGTTCGGATTGCAGTCGTTGACTTTTTCAGAGATTTGGCAGTTCTGCGATCTCTTGTGGCTGACTTCGATGGGTTCCTCTCTTTCGAGAGTCGAATAGGTAGTTCAAGCTGCGACGATACCAGCTGCACGAAATGGTTTTGGTCTTGTTGTGAAATCCACGTACGGAGCTCTTGTAGCGGAGTTGAGCTGCTACTGAGCAAAGGAAGGATAATACTCAATTCGTTGCCCATTTCTCGGTATGTTACCCAGGACACATGGGAAATTTCTCGGTATGTTACCCAGGACACAAGGGAAGGAGTCACCACAACTTATGCCAAGATCAACTGAGGAAAATCCCCCCAGTTGATCTTGGCACGCGTACGAGAATTCTCGATCCTCAGGTTTCACATCTGGTTGTAGCCTCGCGTCACTTCAAGACCTAAGATATGCCTGCCATGAGTACCGTACTCCAGACACCCGGGCACAAGCACATAAAGCCCCTTGCCCTGCACGATGGCTTATTGCCTGGTTGCCTTTTTCCTCTGAGCTTTCACTCATTCGTTCTTATCTTACCGGTTATCCAACATCATGGCAGAACTTGGGTTCGCATGCAGTATCTGCAGCCTCGTCTTAACCTCACTTTACTGGCTGTCAGCCGTTGTCAACTTGAAACCACGGAAGCACATATCTCCCTATGCCTGTTTGGTCAATGCTTGCGCCTTGACACCGCTTGCTGCGGCGCTTGTCGCTGTTGTCAAGAAACAGCTGCTCCAAGAGACCATCTATCTCAGCCGAACGTCTCTTTTCCTCATCAATTTTGTGGACGTTGGTTGAATCTTCTGTTCGTCCCAGGACTATTTCTGAAGGTCCGCACAGGTCATTGAGGCATCCGGCACACTCGACACTTTTTCTTCTAGCTATATCATACCTTTCTTTACGCTTGATTGGGACGTAAAATCAGTCTTCGTGGCGGTCTTATCCGTCTGCGTGGCATTGGTTCCTATCGCCCTGTTTATTTCAAGTTTTATCTGGTGAGTATCTTCCAATTATTTGTTTGGGAGAACTAAGCGAGAGGCTCTAGGGACCACGGTATTACAGGGCCGCTTCTATTCGCCTTCTCGGTGTTCATTTCCTGTCTTGTCAGGGGTGTTTGGGCCGGGTGTTTTCTGGCGCGCATGCGAAGAGAAAAGCACTCGTTTCGAGACATCCTGAACAACCTGCCGAGTGGCAAAGTGCCGGCAGAGGTCGTGCTCTCTTTCGAAGTGGTGCGGTCGCTTGTCAATGTCTGCACAGCCTTTGTGACCTTCGGTCTCGTCGTACACTTGCAAAGCAGTGCTACGACGGCACTGTGCTACGTGGTAAGCGGAGAGAAAGTTAAAGGTCTGAAGGTACTCCATTTAACGATTCTACAAGGTACATCAGCTGCTCGCCACCACACTGCTTGCTTGGACGGGACTACCCAAATTATTTCGTCGTTGGCCGATTGGAAGACAACGCGACGAGTCAACACATCCAGAGGGAACCTCTCCTAGTCGTGAGTGTATTTTCGATCCAGAAGAATCAGGACAAAAGCGACAACACAGTGACAGCATTTCGATATAACCAACAGCTGTTGGCCAGATGCTGCACCGTGCTGAGTTAGAAGTTCTCCTTCAGCAGCAGAACCGGCATGGAAGTGCTCCATGCCGCAATCCATGGCCACCGGTGTTTTGCGAATCCGTCGCTGACTTCAAAAGCGACTTGCGCCCCATACAAGGATGTCCTCACTGGCCAATACGTCGTGTCAAAACAACGACTACTTATATCGACTACTTTTATCGACTACTTTTATCGACTACTTTTATCGACTACTTTTATCGACTACTTTTATCGACTACTTTTATCGGCACAACGTGTTTGCTACGTCGCAGACGCCCCGGACAAAAGATTGCCGATGTTCCCTTTGGACTTCACATGACTATTTAGTTCATTCAATTGCTGTCTGAGAAAGAGGTTAACTAATGTCGCCTAAGTGGCTAAGTACATGTTTATGGTAGCTTCTCACTGTCCTGAAGCAGGTGAAGGTTGAGCGCCCCAGATCAGTCGTCAAATGGCTGCATGATTGGAGTTTGAGAGCACTTGATAGTAATACGAAGTCGCCATGGCATTTTACGTATTTTTGGAAAACAACTCATCGTGGTCCGTCTCTCTGCCGATAGCTCATAAGATTGCTTCATTCGAGAACTTGGTGAAGAAATTCACTTTGTCCATTTGAACCGTAATTATTCCCATTGGCATGGTCAATCTGAAACGCACAGAACTATATTTGTGAAGGTGCTAATCTCCTCACGCGCCGAGATGGTATATAGCCCTAGATCATCCAGGTATGCCACAGAGACCGCTTCTGGCCACCGGTTCGAGGAAAGTCCGAAACTGTAATCCCAAAGATTTGTTATTTGAGACTTCAGCCATAACGATGACCGAGTGGGAATCGAATTACGCAACCCCGCCCTGTAACTTGGACTGAATTCACAGCACTTCCGCACACAGCCTGCTCCACTAAGTGTGATTGACTATGCTGGTAATTGCTATCACATCTCTAGCTTCGGTTGTGACCCCTATGAGGCACGAATCAGGGTTTCGCGCTATTGGCACGCTTCCCTGCTATTTCAGTCCCCCAGAGAGATATAAGCATGCAGTACCTCCCCGCTGTCGTCCTTGAAGCCCTATTTCTAGGTGGTGCCCGGTTTCCGTATTTCCAATTGCTTTGTCTGATTTGTTATTTGCTGTTCTATGGCGCCAATGCATCCCTCTCCCCAGTCACAGGACGACATTTCACCGCCCGTACTTCTGCCTTCATCCTATCATGAGCGCTTCGGGTGTCAATCAAGAAGCGACTATCTTGCTGGCATTGGGATCCAACCAATTTCCAATTGGAAGAGGCCAAGAGAATGCACTGTGGACCGGCCTGGCCCTAGCCAGGAAGACCAGGAACTGTCCGACAGCGATGTGTCATCTTTCAAAGCCTCATCTATTTTCAGCGACCTCTCATCCAATGATGATGATAGTTCTATTGACCCGGTGGCCTCTGAGGACGAAATTTCTACAGCAAACGGGAGGATCGCTTTTCACGTGAACATCGAAACCCAGGTTTTCGAGCCGGATAGAAGGATTCCTAGAGATGAGGTGCCTTCCAGTGATGAACATTCGTGGCCCCCTCCAACTATGTTTCAGTATGTACGTTCTTTCACACAGTGATACCGTCTAACCAATATAGGCGAGCG